ACTACATTTCGCTAGGCAATTCACTCTTCTCTCCTAAAAGAATATTTTAAACCTTGTCCTAAGTCTCAGACACTCTGACACTACTTCCCGAACCTTTCAATCACTGTAGTTGGCCACTATGGTATCTCTTCCTCTTACCCCAGTAAAACCAGAGTCCAAGTTGGCAGAATGTACTAAGAGTCCATGTGAGGTACAGAAGTAAAGGTGGTAGGTTCAAGGTAGGGAATGTAGCAGCTGAGGAAACCATGATTCCTGACTTTCTGGATATCCTGGATCAACTTCTTGTGCTGCTTGATACAGACACCTGTGTGAGGAGCATGGACGACAAAGCCAATGTGGGAGCAAACTGTTCCAGGAGCTTCACGTTCCTGAAGTAAACATGCAGCTTGAGATCACAACAGATGGAAAAGGGGTTCCCAGCAACTTTACTTCTACAAACACATTTCTTTTGACTCTGCTGTGGGGGCACTCCACCTTTGACATTGCAATGGGAGGGAAAACATCACATTTCTGGTATTCTAAACCCAGATATTTCTAGGGTTCATCCTTATAAGGGGAAATAAGAACTGAGGTCAAAGAAGCTTCCTCAGGGGGAGGTCTGGTACAAAGATATTGGCAGGAGAGCTGAGCTCAGAAGTACCTCTAAAGGGCAGAAAGCTAGGAAGGCACCTCAGCAGCTCATTCAGTACAGAGGCCACCATCTTGACAATACACCCAAGGAGCACCATTTCTTCATTCAAACGGAGGACAGCAGAAGGGGAGGGACAGCTAGAAGAAACTCTGCTAGATGTTCATACTACAAAGAGCTCACTATATATATTTTTTTTCAGGGGTATAGTCCAGAGGAGTGGGAGGGTGAGGGTGAGAATTCACCCGGGACAGAGCAGGGAGCAGAACAGGCAGAAGGACCGAAATACACTGCTGAGGGGAGCAGCGGGTGAGACAGGAGAGGCCTGCCATGCCTAAATATATTTTCTAAAGATTTATTTATTTATGCATACAACAGCGGAGGTACAGGCCAGAGATGCAGGGGGTGAGAGGATCCACCAGATACAGAGTGGGGAACAAAACAGGCGGATTGACTGAAATACACTGCTGAGGGGAGTAGCGGGCAAGACAGGAACGGTCTGCTGCGCCATGTGGGTTGCTCCCTGGCCAGCCGGGGATCGAACTCATGCTGCAGAAGCTGTGGACTGCTTCACAGATTGCGTCTTAACCCCTTGCACCATCAGGGAGGCCCTCTAATCACTTTTTTTTTAAAAAAAGATTTATTTATTTTATACAAGAACTGGGTACAGGCCAGATGCGCCGGATGGTGAGAGGATTCACCAGAGACAGAGCGGGGAACAGAACAGGCAGACTGACTAAAATACACTGCTAAGGGGAGCAGCGGGCGAGACAGGAGAGGTCTGCCGCTCCATGTGGGACCCTCACAGCTGGCCGGGATCAAACTGGCACTGTAGAGGCTGCAGATAGCTTCACAGCGTGGCGTTTAACCGACTGCGCCACCAGGGGAGGCCCTCTAATCACTTTTTTTTAATAAATTTTATTTTTATATTCCCCATCCAATTGCAACCCCCTTATTTTGACCCCAATCCCTCCTTCCTCTCCCCTCCCTCCATAGAGTGTCTCTGGTTCATAGTTTTTTGTTGATTTTGATTTTCACTTTCTTATAGTTATTCATTTTCCTGGTCCCTTATTTAAGTTTTCTAGATTCCTGCTATGAGTGAGACCATCCGGTATTTTTCTTTTTCTTTCTGGCTTATTTCGCTGAGCATGATCCCTTCCAGCGCCATCCATGTTGCTGCAAATTGCATGTGTTTATCTTTTTTGAATGCTGAGTAATATTCCATGGTATATATGTACCACATCTTCTTGATCCAGTCATCTATTTTTGGGCATTTGGGTTGTTTCCAAAGCTTAGCTATTGTAAACAGTGTTGCTACAAAGATAGGGGTGCAGGTGCTCAAAGAGCTCACTATTGCCAGGCATTCCAGCTACAAAAATTGGAAGACCTAATTCATCTATTTTCAAGAACTACACATTGATGTTAAAAAACAAATTTTACTTATAGGCAATCAATAAAAAACCAAAAACGAGCAATTGTTTCCCCCAATGATGGGCATTCAGTAGTGGCAGAAAACTGCATGAAACAATGCATCAAAATTTGATTTTCCTAACACAATTTTCAGGGTGCAGTGATTCCCAACTAGGCACTTCAGAACAAACAACTACAACCACTGAAGTGAATGAAGTGTTCAATAGAGCATCTACCACCACAGCACATGTTAACTACCTCTTAGTAATCCAAAATAGGTACAAATATATTTGTTATGTAAAGTGCTAATAAAGAAGTGCTTCTCAGTATGAAAAAAAATACATTTATTTTGTTTGAAGCCTTAGCAGTTACAGATATCCTTTTTCCTATGTCTGCTTGCTGATTTCCCCACTCCGTGAATATGGGTGAGAAGCAGAATGTGACTCCTTTCTTAAAAGCGAGTAAGGCCAAGTAATCATCTTTTCAATTTCCCTTGCAGCTAGGGTACAGGCAGCGACCTAAATCAAGACACAATTGATGATTTTAAATTAGAAGCTAGTATCACGAAGAAGCATGGTCGAGAAAGAAACTCTCCAATAACACCCCGATTCTCAAGCAGAAGCTACAGCTATGGCAAGAACAGCAGAAGTAGCAAGGTTCACTGTCACAGTGCTGGGGTACATACTGCAGGACTCAGTGTTACCAGGCAGCATGATAAGTGATGTACCCCCCATGTCCCAACCCCAACTACTTCTGAACAGCAATTCTGACTGTGGAATTACCCTTGGTTCCTGCCCATTTTCAGAGTAAGGTCCCCCCACCCCCCCACCCAACCCCCAGCTTTAAACCAATGCTGAAAACTCCCAAATACTTTTTCATAAGATCCTCTTTTTTTTTTTAAATCATGTAAGTTCTTGCTAATAAGAAAAATGAGTGATAGAGAGCATAATGAAATAGTATGGTAAATCAAAAAGCATCCAACCCACAAAGGGCTAGGTTTATGAAGTATATTTTAGAAGTGGACGTGTATGTGTTGTAAGATTCACATTCAGCTCTGACAATTCAGTTTATAATCTGTCATCATGTATTCATGCCAAAAATTTTCTATTCTATGTGCTATATCACTTGGCAGTCTGATTTTATCTGCAAGATAACACACACCTTCTCCATAGAACGATACTATAGGACTTAAGAAAAAGCAAGTTTTCTACTTCGTTTTTTGTGGGGTTTTTGTTTTTGCATAGAAGAACTGGGGTGAGAGGATTCACCAGAGACAAACGGTGAGCACAGCAGGCAGATTTACTGAAATACACTGCTAAGAGGAGCAGCAGGTGAGAGAGGGGAGGTCTGCTGCACCATATGTGGGTCAGCTCCCTGGCCCAGGATTGAACTCAGGCCGCAGCAGTGATAGCAGAGATTTAACCCCTTTGGACTACAGTAAGTCTTCAACATCACTAATAGGTTTTTTGGAAAGTATGACTTTAAAGCCTACAAACAAAGCAGGCTCTTAAATAACATCCTTTTTCCTTTTTTCTCACGTATGCTATTAAAAACAGGCATGCAATGAAACCACATTATTGAGGGACCTGCTGTACACTCAAATTCTAGATACCCCTCCAAAGGATTGAAAAGGATGAAGACCTCAACTTTTTCTTGATTATTTGCTTGAATAATAATCAAAGATCTATGGCTCTCAATCTCCAGGCTTCAGTAAAAAGTCAAGTCTTAAAAGGAATGAATTGTTTTCAATCTCGGAGTTTACATGAACTTCAAAGTGCTCTCTCCTTAACACATATTTTGGTTGTTGTTGCTATTTGGGTTACTTCAAGAAGCAACAAATAAAACTATTAGTTGGTAAGTTTAAAAAAAATTAAATAAATTTCTCCTCAACTCTGAACCAAGTGAGTATGTAGGAAGATTAACGATCAAACTAGTGGTCTGAGCTTTTAACCTACTGCCTCATCTCCACCCACAGGAAACCTAGGCTAATAGGTCTGGAAGAGCAATAATATTAAAAATCATCGCACCCATTTCAAACTGAGCTCTTCTCCCTGACCTATAATAGAAATTTAATGACATTTGTTGCCTGAGTACAGTATTTATGACAGTGCACACATATTTCACATTTTCAAAAATCGCTCTTACGTAGCACTTCCCATAGGGGCTGTGCTTCCAGGCTTACCAGCCAATTTCACAAGAATTCCTGAATCTAGATGGGTGCCTAAGAGCTGGACTTGCACGCATAGCCATGAATACACAGAACCTTAGTAACTTATGCTCCCCCAGTACAGCACTGCATCTCTACCTTGGACATTCTGATACACAGCAATAACCTCTCGCTTATCTGCGCCTTAAGGATTCTAAAGGATGTCCTATTCATCCTCATATCTCAAGACCAAAGAGAACCTGGACCACAGCAAGTGCTTAACTATCAACATTCTCCCGCCTTTCTGCAAGTCTTCTTTTTGGCTGAACCTCAGCTGTTAGCCCAAATTACAGACACCCCTGTTCTCACCGCGCCCCCGTCCCGCAGCCACACAGAAAGTGCCGCACAGGACGCTGACTTTCGTTCCCCAGAAAAATTACCCATGGCCCAAAGCATTTCCCCCAAAGTTTCCCCTTAAGTGCGCGCCACCGGCTCCCCTCAATTCCCATCTCAGCCAGAGGGAGTAGAGCCGGAGGGGAGAGGGGACGGGGCAGCGGCTGTTCTCTCCCCCAGCTCCGCCCTACAGAAGCGCGCTGAGCCCGGGACCCGCCAAGCCCGGGCGCCGCAGCCCAGGGGGCCGCCGGGCAGAATCTGTCAGCAGCTACGCGCCCCCCGGAGCCGCGCGTCAGGGTGTGTAGAGGACCCGGCACCCCCACAGCGCCGCGGGGCTGTGCGCCCCGGCCGGGGAGCCAGCGCGGGGATCCAGCATCCCGAGCCGCGAGCTCTTCCGGACTCAGGTGGGCGCCCCGGACTCACCCGAGGAGGCAGCGGTCACAGACGACGCCAAGGCTCCCCTTGCACACCGTGTACGCCAAGGGATCCGAGCGGAAGAGCAGCTCCCCGGGCCGCAGCCGCACCAAGGCGCGCAGTCCGTTTCCCCTGCCGGCGGGGCTGAACTTTTCCACCTTGGGCGGCTCCATGCTCGCGCCGCGCTCGCACCTCAGACGGCCGCGGCGCCCCGTTGCTGGCGTCTCGTGGGCCGCCGGGAAGCGCGCGCCTGCGCCCTGCGCGCACACGCACGCCCGAGGGGCGGGGCGGGCGGGGGAGCCTCTGCGCATGCCCAGACCCGGCCCCGGGGCGCGCGGGGCGGGAAGCCAGCGGCGCGGCGGGGCGCGGCGGGGCGCGGCGGGGCGGGGCGGGGCGGGGCGGGGCGGGGCGGGGCGCGCGCGCCTGGCCTCGCTGAGGTGTCCGAGGCATCTGCACGAGGAGAGATGGTGGTGGTTTTTTTTTTGTTTTGTTTTCCCTTCAAACACTTTATTTTTTAAAAACATTTTACTTATCTATTCGAGAACTGGAGTACAGGTCAGAGGCACGGGAGGGTGAGAGGATTCACCAGAGACAGAGTGGGGAACAGAACAGGCAGACTGAGTGAAATACACTGCTGAGGGGAGCAGCGGGCGAGGCAGGAGAGGTCTGCCGCGCCATGTGGGTAGCTCCCTGGCCATCTGCTACTCCAACCCACGCTGCAGAGGCTGCGGACAGCTTCACAGCGTGGCGCTCAACCCGCTGCCCCTCCAGGGAGGCCCACTTCCAACACTTTAACATGATAGTTTTAATATACACGGAAAGTTGAGGGAATAGTGCTTTGGACACCTCTTGGAGCAGTCATTCTTACCTCTTTAACATTCCTGCTCCAGTGTTTTTTGTGGTGTGGAGGCAGGTACATCTGTGTCTATGTTAAACCACTTAAAAGTAAGTTGCAGATACTATTACATTTCATAATTAAATACTGTATCTTGCATTTCCTCAGATAAGAACAATGTCCTTAAAAAAACAAACCTGTATTGACTGTAAATACCTTTTTTTTTTTTTTAGGTTTTTTTTTTTTTTTTAAAGAGGCATGTATTTTATTTATTTATTTCTTGTTTATTTGTTTGTTTATACAAGCACTGGGTACAGTCAGAAGGGTGGGAGGGTGAGAGAATTCACCAGAGCCAGAGCGGGGAGAAGAGCAGGCAGAAGGACTGAAGTACACTGCTGAGGGGAGCAGTGGGCGGCAGGAGAGGTCTGCGCACCATGTGGGATCCTCCTCCGGAGGCCGGGGAGCAGCCGGGAATCGAACCAGCGTTGCAGAGGCCGACCCAGTGCTCAACCACTGTGCCACCGGGGAGGCCCCTGTAAATACCTTTTGTAAGTTAATTTTTAAGCCAGGATCCAATGAAAGCAATCAATTTGCATTTTTGTGAAACTGATTCTTTTATGATTCCATGCTCCAGTTTGTTTGGTTGTTTTCTCACTGGTGTTATTTAATTTGTTCCTCTGTTTCCTGCATTTCCTGTAATCTGCAAGCTAGATTTAGATGCTAATGTCTAGCGGCTTGATTTGATTCAAGCTAAGCTATTTTTTAGTAAAAACATTACGGAAGTGAAAATATATTATTGAGCAAATGAGTATAATAAAGATTCCAGCAGAACGTCTAGCCTAGGTGTAATGGACATTCCAATGCAGGCATGATTAACAAGTTTGCTTACTTACAGATCTTTCCCTTTCAAGATTCATGGCCAGGGCCTCAACACTCCTGTCTACAAGGTCGGGCAGCCAACCAGCTGGTCTATCTCTCCAAGGCCATCCCCGAATGCCTGCACCTTTCCCCTCTTGCCTTGCCCCTCTTGTCTGGGGACTTTGCCACAAATGGTTGTGCCTGCTGAAAAACAATGCTATCAATGTAACAGATATGGAGACAGTTGTGTATGAAAGGAACCCTTGGTTTTTAAACCGGTGCTCAGACCTTAGAGGGCTACCCAGGTCTAGGACCTTATGCATGAGTAATAAAGCTTCTCCTGACCTCACCATTCCTGAAGTACCGCTTGCTCTTCCTCTGCTTGGGTAAAAGGTTAGAATTTATTTCTACAACACTACAAGTGCTATTGTATTGAATCACATATCTGAATGTGAATCACATATCTGAATGTGTTCAATATCAGGTTGTCTTACTATAATAGAACTCAGGTTGATCAGATCGTTAAAGCTGTGGCTGCTGGAACACTTTATTCTGAAGTTACATTGTACTTTTGCATTAGTAAGTAATCTGTGGGGTGATACTTAATCCCACAATCTTGAAAGCCATCTTTGACACTTCTGAAGTAGTCTGCAGGAGGCTGTGATGTGATGGAAAGAGCAGCGGACAAAGATTTCAAAGCCGTGACTTGAGTCTCAGTTCTGCTATGGGATCATGCCTGATTATTAACTTAAAGAGTAATGAGTATAAGTCTTATGGAAGTTTTTGAAAAATTTTAAAGTAGTTTTTAAATATAAGAAACCATTATTCTGAATTAAAATGTTTGAGTCTATAAGTATTGGATAATGCCTTCATACATACAGCAGGCATTACCAGTATAATAATCTTATATCAGTACCAGAAGGAACTCAAGGAACTAAATAACATGTTAAAAGGAGTTCTAGACAATCAGGAGCTAATTCTAGCATAGCATAGTCCCAGTTACTAAAGACTATTTTCTTAGGGAAAACATTTTGCTGGACCTCGTACTAGGAGATGGGATGATCCAGTCTTTCCTATCACAGGGTGTGGTTCTAGCTACCCACCCGTGACCTGCTGCCCCTAATATATGTCTCATTCCTCCTTCCAACCCAGAAAGCCAAAGACTCCAAATCTAAGAGGGATGTACCTTTCCTTCAGTCTGACTTTCTCCTGTGTATTTCAATCTCCACTGAAACTTAGACATAGCGTTAGTAGTGAGGCAGCCTATCAAAAAAAGAACACTATCCTAGAAAATGATGGAATAAGAAAAAAAAGAGCCCTACAGCCCTAGACATTTACACAAAGGAGACATCTTGTTTAAATCACCCTCATTTTGGCCTGTGTTAAAAAAAAAAAAAAAGAACCAGGCACACCACTGTACCATGCTGGACTCTACTTTGCTCCCTGCACGCCCTGGGCCCCCACTGTGGCCACCAATCAGCAGCTGGTAGACATCAGGGGTGGAATCTATTAAGCACGTACTCATTACCCAGATTGTTCCTGCTTCACCAGCCTGGCAGCCGGGACCCAGGATGCCTCCTCTGATATGATACAATTTGGTTGGCTATTGTACCCATTTTCCAGCAGAACTGCCCCCACTACTATTTCATGTATTCAGTAAAGGCTTTGTTCTCTACCAAGTGCCATCTTCCTACCAGTTTCTTGTAATCTGGGAGAGAAGTTAAAAAAAACTACAGCTAATGGCAGAAAAACTCCAATTGTCTGCAACCTCACAAACAGCCTATTGGAAGGAAAGCACAATAACAAGAAAACTGGAAGGTGGGAAATTAGTTGTGGATGTATCATGAATAATGTCACCTGTACACAGTTCTATGAAAAAATGGAATAAAAACGTCATCATTGGGCCTCCATGGTGGTCCAGAGGTTAAATCTCAGCACTGTCACAACTATGGCCTGGGTTCCATCCCTGGCCAGGGAGCTAACCCACATGGCTCAGCAGACCTCTCCTGTCTCGCCTGCTGCTCCCATTAACAGTGTATTTCAGTGGATCTCCCTGTTCTGCTCCCCACTCTGTCTCTGGTGAATCCTCTCACACACATCCCACTCACACCTCTGGGCTACACCCCAGTTCTTCTATGCTAAATAAATTTAAAAAAAAAAAAAAAAAACTTCATCATTATGGACAGGAATTAACTGTGAGAATGAACAAGTTCAATTCTTTGAGCAAATCTCCATACTCCCTTTCTTTCCATTACTGGAGGATAAGTTTATGGATTGATATCTAGTAAAGTTTAGCATAGTGAATTGTTACAGACATAATCTACAAGGTAGAATACAATCTACACTCTAAATTAGCTGTTTAAATTTTTTCATAATAACATGTTCAGGGAAAATACTATCACCTCACCATTTCAAATTCTGGAAGTCTCATAAGTGTTTTTGTTTTTAATTGGTTTGTTATATTTAGAACACATGGTGCTTGGTTAATATATGTTCTTAAAGGAAATACAGGGTTTTTTTTTTTCCTAAGTAGGAAAAATGTCAGCTCTTCCTTATTATGTCTTTCTTCTCTGTGAGTCTCCTTTCCAACACACATTGCATCCTTTGTTTCTAATACTTCTGGTCACCAAATATGTGGAGGTTTTTCCTTATAATAAGCAATTCTTTTCAACACCAACTCTAGGTGTCCTACAATTGAACTCAATCCTGATGCTTTCTACCAGAGACTGAGGGCTCAGTAGACCAAGACTGCCCCTTCCCCATCAATACCATTGACAAGTGACAACCCCAGGTTATCACCTGGGCCAGTGACAAGCCCAGGATATCACCTGAGCTTCTGACCAACTGTCTATAGATTAGAGGTTCCAGTGACTGCATCCTGGAGTTCAATTTGCTAGAGCAGCTTACAAGATCAAGTTAACACTGATTTTTACCAGTTTATTAAGGGATTTAATAAAGGATATAGATAAATACCCAGATGACAGAGCATCACAGGGCAAGGAATGTGGGACAGGCGTGGAGCTTCCTTTCCTTCTCTTGGCACAATATTCAACACCTTCATGTGTTACCAACTCACAGTCCATCTGAACCCTTGTGTGATTTTCTAGAGCCTTCATGGCATAGACATTATCAATTATTAACTCCATTTTCAGCCCTTCTCCCTTCTCAAGAAAATGAGGGGCAAGCCTGAAAATTCTAAGCATGACTAGATTTTTCTGGGTACAAGGCCCCATTCAGGACCTCAACCAGAGTTACCTTGTTACAACTAAAAATACTCCTGTCACTCAGGAAATTACAAGGACTTCAGGAGCCCTGTGTCAGGAAACAAATAATAGAATAAAAGGTGCTCCTATGCTTTCATTACTTAGGAATTTACAAAAGTTTTAGGAGCGGTGTCAGGAACAGGGTAGAAACACACACACATAAATGTATGTGTATTTACATAGAAATACATAGATATTATTTTACAGTATCTTTATCATTTCTCTTCATTCCATGATCAATGTCATTGTTGGAAGTACAGCAGAGT